TGGGGCTGGGGGTGAGAGTTCAGAAAATAACTAGACTGCCAACAAGCTCATGTAGTAAAAGTTAAAAAGGAGCATATATCATAAATATATATGTATAAGATCTCTCTCTCTGTCTTTACAAAAAAAAAAAAAAGCTTGCAGTCCTCTATAAAGATCTGTCCTAGGCCAATAGTTTCCACATGCACCAACGCTACCATTCCCTGTAGCTTTAGCTTATATGTGGGAAGAGAACCTGAAGTCAAGTTTATTACTAATTGCATGAAGGGAATACAGAGGCACTTCCATATACTGTTATAGTCTTGATATATGGTTTTAGTACATAGAGCTAATGTTACTAGAGAGGCTGAGAACAGGGTCTCTGCCCTGTTTACTATCCCTGCAAAACAGAACCAACAGCTAGGCAGTCCAGTTATTTTGTGAGGTCGGCTTTTGTTGGATTGTGTCATGATGAAAATAATACCAACAGCGATTTCAATGTGAACATTTACATAGAAAAATATCTCAAATTAAAAAGACAAATCTTAAATGAATGAAAAACCATTAACAAAGGCAGTTTGGAGAACCAAATCTAAAGGCTTCCCTTTATTCTTTTGTGTCAGGTTGTTGGTGGTGCTAGTGTTCATTTTATTTGTGTGTGAGTGTGTGTGTCTGTGTATGTGTTGTGTGTGTACTCCTCTGGGTTTTCCTGTGACCAGACTAAGGGATTCGGGGTGAAGCAATGCAAGGGACGCATGTGATAAGCTGTTGTTACTGTGCTGTCCATATGTGAGAGATTTGAGAAACTACTGTTACCGTTTCACTGAAATCTGAGCATGATAGCGTGTTACTGCAAACTAACGGAAAATGTTATGACATGCAAGAGAAGGTTAAAACAATCCAGGTGAGACAAAACCAAAACCAAATCTTGCAATAAAAAAAAGAAAAGAAATCACAAGAAAACACCTACAAACAAAATTAAAGCCAATAATATGATGCTGATGCTGTGTGTGTGCATTACTGTGAAATTCCAAATCTAAGGATGATAACAAGATGATTTTATGAGTGGCTGTGTGACTGTTCTGAAGAGGGCAGTCTACGTTTGCTGTCTGAAAGTGTGCATGAGTGTGCGTACGAGCGCTGCGTGTTTCAGGGCCCAGACTTGGATGTCAGCGCGGCCCCATCCCCGTGGTGGCAGCCGGCCTCGACTCACTTCTCTTATCGCTCGTCTGACCATTGATGTGCAATACTGTTCATCCCTTATTAAAAATTAATAGTGCATAGGTGAGGGGACGAAAGAGCACATGTAGAGTTAGTGTTATGACTGTCTGTTGTGTGTTCGCTTTCTCGCACTCGCCTCATGGCTATCACTTCTCCCACAGCAGGACACCCTGATACTTTGACAGGTAAACAAAGACCAGCCACTTAGTGCATATGTGTCACACCATCGGATGGTGTCACCATGATTGGCCAATCGGAAATGAAAGAGGCTCAGGGCTGAGCGAATCGAGCAACAGAGTGTGGCGACGCACAGGAATGCGGCTGCGGTTGTGGTCTGGACCCTGAGCAGCACTGGGCTCCAGGTGAGGTGTGTGGGGGTGGTGGGTGTCAGATGGGACCATGTACCTGGAGGAGAGATGCGCAGAGAAATACACAGATATGGAGGTGTGCAATTTGGGGTTGCAATCTTTTCAGCTTGCACATCCGACTTTACCATCTACCACTTCTTGTTTGTTTTTGGATCTCCCAGCCAATGCATGGAGTTTCATTGTGGAGACAACAAAATGAAAAAAAAAAAAAATTATATCATTAAAAAAAGAGAAAAAAATAAATGTTTAATTGGTCATTTGTCAGGTTGCCATATTGTGTTTCCTTTCTGACATTTCATGGTGCATGTGAGACAGTTCTTCATCTTCTTCCTCCTCCAAGCATTCTGAGTCTGTCCACTCAATCTCATTGAAGCCTCCTGCATAAAGGGGGGGACGAATGTTCCTGTTCAAATCGTGTTGAATTGGGAGTCCTCTTGGGGCGGTGTGGGGTTTTTCGAGTTCTTCTGTAGTAGTACTTTGAATAGTGTTGGCGAAGGAGAAAGACCTTTTAGTGTCAGCAGTTTGTTCTTTATCAGCGGTGATGTGTTTGCTTTTCAAATTTCCAATTTTCATGACACAATTTTAGCTGTTGATTCAGAGAGGCCTTGTCAGAGGAACCAGGACTGTGAAGAAAAAACAAGAAAATGTGTCTTTTTAGTTTAAAATCCACATGACATGATTTAAATTTCAACTTAGTCTTGATTTAATTCAGCATTTAGTTGCAGCGTGCGTGTGAACAACAGAAAAATACCTACCAACAGACACATTGACAAGAAATCGATGTGAGTAAAGAAGGTAGAAGAAGTGAAGAGACTTGATAGAGTATGAAGAGGTATGAAGTACAAACACAACTTTTAATCATGGTGGAAATCAAAGGTTTAAGTGGACGAAATCGTGCGAACATTCACAAAACCTTGAGGTCAACAGTCCCACATCAGACATCACAATATAAATCTGGAGGGCTGTAAGGTAACAGAAAAAAAGAAAAATTAAAGTAAATTAAGTTTATTTTTTCAGACATTCTTCTGATGTTGTGTTTTTTTTTTCTTTCTATCAAAAATACTGAGTAATTTCACCTCTTCAGTCAAATGAATATACAATTTAAAAAAAATCTACTCTGTGGTTGAATTGGTCACAACCAGGAGGAATAAGTAGACACTGATTTGTTTGGAGAGATCATGGGCCTCCTAGTGCAAGTAGTCCTTCATCCACTAGAGGGCACCCTACTACTCCATTTCTCCCTCTCTCCCAGTACTTTGCTGAGCGGTCCCATGCAGTGTCAAAAAAGTTGCCACCTCAACTTCACCACTTGCTGCTTTTAAGAGGGCTGACTCAAGCTTTTGCACTTATTAAAAACAGTTGTGTTATCACAGAGTTACAAATGAATTAAGGCAGCAGTATCTGTGTTGGTCTAAATGGGTTTCCAGTGAGCAAACACAGGACTGCGGCTGCTCCGTCATGTGCTACTAGTTTTACATGTAAGGCGATCCTCCTAATATGCCCCTGCTCTGTGGGCCAGCGTGGGCTCAGGCTACACTGTAAAGCTACTGAGGGCAGCTACTCCAGGGATCCAGTTTCCCAGTTTGATAAGAGGGCAGAGTGGAGGCTTTGGCACTGGCTGAGCCGCTCTGGCTGCCACTGACATTCCTCAGGCCTCAGCCTGGGGAAAGCAGCGACCCACCACACCTTTAACAGCGAACTCTCTGTTGTCCCCCATGCGAGCAAACTCAGAGAAAGTTTTACCCCCTCTGAACCTCCATCTATCCTCCACCACCTCTGCCTCTCTCTGCAGATAACTCCTCCTCCTGGCTCCAACTTCCATTAACCCTGTCCTCTTTTTCTCTCTCTCTCTCTCTCTCTCTCTCTCTCTCTTACTCCAGCTCTCCCAGTGTAATCCTTGGCAGTGGAAAGTGACCCCCCCACCCCCGCCTTCAAGTCCAAGTTCAACTGCCTATGACATCATGTCTGGTTGCTGCGGGCAACCAGACAGCCGGGACGTGACTGTGGAGTGCAGCGAGCTTCAACTAACTCCCTCTCCCCTTTTTTCTTCCCTCCCATTCTCTCAGTCCCTCTTACTTTTTTCATACATGCCTCACTGTCTCCCTTGCTCTCTTCCTGCATAGCTGAGGTCTTGCCACCAGAGAGCTCCTTAGACCAGCTTTTCTCTGCTTCTTGCTCTGACAGCAGTTTGAAGATTCTCTCCCTCTGTCTTGGCTAGTTGGCTAGCAGGCAGCAAGGCGGGCTGGCAGGGCCATCGTCTGAACCTCGCCATATGCCAGAGAACAGCAGGATAGGCAGAGACCTCTGTTACTTGCTCTGGCTGAGGCTGTTGCTGACCTACTAGGCTCAGCTAACTGGGAGGATTTAGTGCCGATGCCCAAGTTCTCGCTGTGCTTGCCGTAAACCCGACAGAAATGCTCAAAGTGGACATTTTTCAATAATGTTTGATAAGCAATAGCAGGAGATAATAAGCGTTTGGAACAGATGTAAGCTGTTGTTTTTGTAGGAGGGAGAATGAGGGGCAAGAGTTTTGGCACGGAGTTGAAGTGTATGTGCACATGTGCATATGTGCTAACACGCATTTGGATGGTGTTTGGATGTCCCCTCGGTGCCAGAGCTACATCTGTAGGAGAGTGGTGCAGGTGGGGAGCTTGAAAATACTAAAGGGAGCAGCAGGAGGAGAGGGGGGGGGGGGTCGCAGTCGAGCAGAGCTGTGCCGAGGAGGAATGCAGATTGTTTCCATGTGTGGAGAGGACAGGAGAGCCGAGTTGGCTGCAGGCAGGTGCGGTTAGCCCCTAATGAGAAAAGTTGTGTTGGTGATGGAGGAGGCCCAACACACTGCAGCCCAGTGGCAGTGAGCAGCCAAAGCTGAAACCACAATGTAGTGCACTACTGGCCTCACACGCTGCACTAATACACACTGTGGGGCCTAGCAGAGATAAATCAACACTGCTGGAGCTGAAACTAACTGGCACTGCTTACATTCACTGTGGGGAAACTACTGTGGTAGAGGCACTGTAAACCAATACTGAAACTAAAGGCCTTGATACATGGGCAACACTCTGTTTCAATGAAACTCCACTCAACACCACTCAGCTGAGCAAGTTTTGCCATAAATTGACAGCCTATATCTGCATGTTAAAATGAGAAAATATCATCTTTTCCGACAGCTACCGAGTTTGATTATCAACAGATCCCTCTCCACACAAATTGAGTTGAAAAAGCAAACAAGTCGACCCTGAGTTGGGATTGTTCGGTGAAAATATTTAAGTCCAAATTTAGCAAACTGATAAATATTTATGGACGGCTACACAAAATATTCATCACTGGTGTCATGTTCTGAATCACTGGTTGTAGCATGTTGCCAGTGCAGAGCTATTGTTCAAGTATTGCCTCTGTATCACGGCCTTCGCTCTGAATGACATGCTTGTTCATTTAAAGCCAAAGATGCTTGCACTGATAGTGTGTTGGAGAGTGGCATCCACGTACAGCACTGTGCAGAGTTACGCTTGCAGTGGGTGATGACGGAAAAGGAAGAAAAAGACATAAAACACAGGAGGAGGAGGAGGAGGAGGTAGGAGGAGGGAGAAGTGGATATGTGCATGTTAATTAAATGAGGGAAGTTGGCGGGGTACCTGAGTCTGCTGGGGGATATTCAGAAAGTTGTCCCGTGTTCCGATGCCGACAAACCGGTTGGGAGCTGTGGAGCCTGGCGTGGAGTATGCTATAAACAGAGAGATACAAGTGTGTACATGCTTTTACACACACACATACACACTCAGCTCATAGCAGAGTTTGATGCTCTGATCATTTTCTGTATATTTTAATAAACTTGGAAGGCTATAGCTACGTGTAACTGTCTAAGTATTTACTGGAAAAAGACAGTAAGGGTCAGGGATACTGATTCCCTACTAGGCCCATGGGTGAATTGTTCACATTGTGGGCTGCTTTATTTGAAATTTTTTTGTACCTAACCATTTAATCAGTGGTTTAAAAGGGGGGCAGACAGTCTGTAGTGATTAGAGCTAACATGGAGAATCTTTTCCCCCCAGATGTGGCTGCCCTGTTAGTCATAGACCCTCCTCAGCAGCCCCTGGCCTCAATAATAAGCCACAAAAAACCCCACTAAGGATTCACTGTAAACATAATAACAGGGTGACCTATGGAGGGAAATGTATTCATCACCAGTGGTAAACAATGCTCCATTTATGTTAAACAGGTTGAGAGGAGCATCTTGCCTATAAAGTGACACCACTCAGGGATGCCACAGGATCAAATTTAGGGCAGTTGTTTTCACTGGACTCCAACATGACAGCTGAGTAGGACCTTTGCTGTGCATGGCTTGAGTGAGTTAAGGGGATGGGGATGTGTGGGGGTGACAGAGACAGGGCTGGAAACTGATGCATGAGTGTGGGTGAGCGTGTATCATGTGCAGGTGTGTGTTTATGTGTGCATGTTTTATGACTGTAATTAAGATATCTTGAGAATCATAGACAAAATTAGAGGGGGAGGAAAAAAAATACAGTGATAACAGTCACCGAGATGAGAAAAGAGACGGAAAATACGATATTTATTTATATAGATGTTCATATAAATAAATAAGAGCGACACGTTAGTCTGAGAGAGCTGGAAGGGGGGGAGGGGAGGAAAAAGTTGATAGGACAGGAAGAGGAGAAAAAGTTAAAACAAAAAGGAGGAGAAGGTGCCCTGGTTGCTCCGTCCAGTGCCCCCTCTTGGTGTGCCTCTCCCATGGCCCGACTCTCGTTCTGCACCTGTTCTGGGTGGAACCGACCAAAGCTTCACCACTCTCTGATGACACTCCTCTCTCCCGCTCCCCCAGTATAGCACTAATTAGACAGGTTTGATTAGATTTTATCATTCATGTTTTGAGAGATGGGTTGTTCTTGTTATACCGTGATTTTCATGTTTTTTGTTGTTCTCAATTTTTAATTGTTGTGAGATTTGTGTGAAAGTGGCGAGGGGATTGGGTGGTAAAGTGGGGCATGATGTTTTTTGGAGTCCACGCCAACTGCCCTAATTTTGTTCCCTTAAACAGAAAAAAAACGAGAGAAATAGAGGAAAAAGAAACAAAGAAAGGAGGATATGAGAATATATCAAATAAAGAAAAGAAGAAAGCAAAAAAGAAATGAGAGAAGGGGGTAGACTATATCGCCACTGTCACAGACAGACATGCAAAGTCTGCATTGATCAAAGGCTTGCAGCTACAGAGGCAACGTGCACAGGGCCCTGCTCTGCTCTGCTCCCCCAAACTACAAAACACATCAAAAAGAAGAGAGAGAAACTACACTGCCTCTTGTGGTGCTAGCAGGAAACCCAACACCAGAGAGGGGAAAAAAGAATTTGAGGAAAGTGAAAGAGTGGAGGAAAGAGGCTGAGGTGGTTTGCAACGACATGAAGAGAGAAAAGGAGACTGGACTTCAGAACAAGAGGGAGAGCAAAAGATACAGATTAGCTTCAAAGAGGATCTCTGGTTTGGCAAAGGCGTGGCTTCTGCCTTGACAAAATTGGTTCTTGCTAGTACGGTACAGTACAGTAGTCCATAAGGTGATGGATGAAACAGGAGTGAAGCTCCTGGGGCTGCTGAGTGTTAGACTGAGTAGATTGCAACCTTGCTGAAAGTCAACGGTCAACCTTACTGGAAGTAGACGGCCAGCTAAACTATGGAGAACGACAGCAGTAGCCATTGCAGAAGCCCCAGACCTGTTCCTTTGCAGTAGTTGAACTACAAAATTACAGAAGAAAACCCCAGTGTAGCTACACTGCACATAAACACTGGGACTTCTATGATGGCTACATCTTTTCTAGCCTACCAAACCTGACGTAGTATTGGGATATATATAGAGGATAAATTTGCTGCTAGCTAAGAGCTAACCAAACTACGGGGGCCTAAAATTGGTTTGGACTGGCCTCTGTGAAAAGTCAGTGGGGAGACTGGGGCATTAATGGGAGGTTTGTGGAGGGGAGTGGGGGGGGGGGGGTGACTTACACGGAGATGCGGGTGAGCTGAGTCCACCGTCAGTGGGCGTGCTGATGGTTTTAGAGTCGGGCATGGGGAGGGGCACAGGGCGCGCCACCGGGGGTGGCGGGGGCAGCAGGAAGGAGCCCGGCATTTTGCTCTGGCCACCTCCATTAGGCTGCAGATGGACCATACAGACAGGGTGAGCAGGACACACCCCAAGAAAATACAGTGTACAGGGAGCCAGACACACACACAACGTAAAGACACACACAGAGTCTCATTTAAGGATAAGAGACTCATATATAGACTAATACCGACAGCATCCACACAACTAGAGAAATGCACTCAAACTGAAACATACAAACACACTTGAGGACAAGGGAGATTTTCTTTAAATTAAAGAAATATCACAGTCTGGCCAAAGGTAGTGAGGTAAATAAGAGGTGGAAAAGTGACAAACATTGTCACACACAAGGGCAAAACAAAAACTGAGTTGTCCACGAGGGACAATGAGGGACTGTTATGGGAGGTAGTTATAGTGTAATGTGAGAGTTTAAAAAAGAAGGAAAAATCAGCAATGTGAAAAAGCATGTTTGTGCATGATCATCTGTGCATTGTGTGAGTGCACGCAACATTTTAAATAGTATACTGTCCTTAGTATGTGAAGTGATGAGAACAAAGGATAATAGGATATGGAAAAAGGGCTTGATAAGTGGATTCAAAGTTGCTCAGAAGGCCAAGTTACAGTAGAGGTTTACAGCACTAGAATGTACCTTAGTGAATGTGTGTCAAAAGCAATGCAGAAATATCCCTGTAAGGCCAGTAGACAGTCAGCTGCATACTGTGTTTTAATATTTGTAACTCGAGTGAGTGTGGGCATGTTATTGGGTTTCTCAAGAAGGCATGCCCTTTTGCAAATCTCTCCCTAAATCAGGCCCGCAGCACCACTGAAAGGCTCAACCATGTCAAACAAACGGCCCTCGTGTGACCCTGTTAGTTTCTGCATTTGTTCTGCTCCATTCATTAACAACTGTGGAGTAGCTTCACTTGACACATGGTGCGTTTCAGATCTTATTCTTTATCCTGCCTGCACTGGGGTTTGTCACAGTGTGTTGCTCTCGTGTACATGAATGTTTTTAGATAAATATTTGAGTTATGTGTTTCTTCATCTTCGACCCAGAATACAGTAACGTCAAGGAAAGTGGGAGTGGGTCTTTGAGGGATTGTTTACACGATTACTGGAATGCATCTCTACTCTCAAGTATCTGCTTCGGGTTTGTTCTATGGATACCTACCTGTCCAACCAGCAGTAATCTTGATGTGTCCACAAATCCTTTACCAGCCGCTCCCAAGTTTGCTCTCTATAGTAAATCCACTGCCAGCTGCCAGTTTCATCCAGACCTAACTAACCCAGTGACCTGCCAGCCTACAAGGACTTTTGTTTCTCCTTTCTACCTTCATTAATCTGTACACATCTGACAGGGAAGATCTCCTATTGCCCAACTCTGGGAAAAGGTATTAGATTATATATTGAACCTGTGATGAGTCAAATGCGGTTTGGCTCCTTGCCCCATAATTTACTGTTTAAGCACACCTGGCTGCCTCGTCCCGCTGATGAATTTGCCCTAAAACCTTTTCTGGTAGAGCTGTTTCACTTCACAAAGATTGCTCTATGTGCAGGTTTTGGCTCACTTCACCTTGTTGCGCCTGCCATTCTGTATGCTGACTTCTTTGTATATTCTTGTTTTCTTTCGTTCAACATCTCTAATTAATTCTACAAAACTGATATCTAACCATGTCAAACTACTGCAGCACAGCGTCCTACAATTACTCCACCTGTGTTTGTAGACCCCATCTATCACTTACCTGTGCACTGGGCTGTCCTGTGCCATCGGTGCACACAAACTGCACAAACTCCTTAAGCGGGTCCTGGTGGTGATGGTAGCGTATGGTGGGGTGGGTAAAGTACGGGCTGGACTGCTGGATGATAGAGGAGGAAGGGAAGTGCAGGGCTGAGGCTGAGGCACGGGGACTCCCTAAAATGAAACGGAGGTGGGAAAGGGGAGGAAGAGGAGAAACATGAGGAGAAGAGTGAAAAAAAATACAATGAGGTTCAAGTCATTGTGATATATTTCTACTCAATCACAGCACAGATGTGAAACACACATAACTCTCTACGCACTATAATATTCGGTACATGTAACATGCACACCTATGCCATGATTTAACATGCATATGTTTTAACTAAGCCCACGACAGCTGGCATCAAAGACCAGGTTGCCGTTTAGGCCTATTATTGTCCTAACACAGAAAATAGCTGTGACATTCTCTTGTGGTTGACTGACTGAAGCTGTTTCTGCTTACAAATGACTGGCATTATCCCTGGCTATTGGGCAACATCTGGTCCCATTCATTTTATAAATCAGCTCACTAGATTTCTCTGTACCTCTGTTAAGCCTGGCATCACTGCACACACAGACACACACACACACACGCACACACACACACACACACACACACACACACACTTTCACAGCCGCGTACACACTAGTGCGTTACAGTATTTTCTACCTTCTGCTTCCTCTTCATTCCTCTCCCTTTTTCTCTCTCACCCACACATACGCAAACCACTAGGGTATGACAGAGCCACACACACACTGGGTTTTTCCACTTTTGTTTTATTGCTTGTCAGTGATGTGTAATCAATCAGCAGCAAATCCTTGCTGTGCGGTTCTGCCCAGTAGTTTGAAGCTTGAGAGAGAATCTCCCCTCTGCTCCCAACCGACCACAAAACACCTCCCAGAGACATTAGTCAGACAGCCAGCCAACCGCACACGTATACACATACACACACGGATACACACACACACACACACACACACACACACACACAAACACACTGACACTCACTCCGCACAGTGTTTCGATCAAGCTTGAGAGAGAATCTCCCCTCTGCTCCCAACCGACCACAAAACACCTCCCAGAGACATTAGTCAGACAGCCAGCCAACCGCACACGTATACANACACACACACACACACACACACACACACACACACACAAACACACGGCTCCACTGTCTGTCTTGTCTGCTGTGATTCTATGGCTCTGGCAATTTGGCACACCAAACTAAAGAGGCAAGCTGCTAGGTGAGGGGAGCCTGGCGAACAAGCATCTGTGATATTGTCTGTCACCTGTTATCTCTTGTGTATACTGTACTCACTGTACTCACAAAGTAAGTCTCTGTTTATTCAAACTTTTCGTGTTTTTGTATAACTGGTCTCCCCATTTTTTTGTTTCTGGGTTGGAATGTGTCTGTGTTTTCTGTGGGCAGATGAATTTTGTGTGTCCCTGTGTTTGTATCTTTGTGTGCATGTATTTTTAGAGTCTGTATAAACATGTTGCTATGTCTGTCACAGTTTCATGTGTCTTTTACATATATTGCCTTTTGTGTGTTATTGTATGTGTGTGTGTGTGTGTGTGTGTGTGTTTGTGTGATTGCTGCCACAATGGTAGACTCTCCAGACAAGTATTATCAGGCAACAGTCAATCTGGCAGCTCTCCATGGCAGTGTGGAGCCAAAAAACAGGGCATAAACCATCCAGTCCTTACCCCACAACAGTCGCACTCACCAGACCTATACAAGAAGAGCAACCAGATTCAACTCATCCATGGCAAGACATGGCTGCTAACTGCTTCTCCCCCATCTCTGTCTACCCCATCTCTCTTTTCATCCCTCTCTCCTTCCCTCCCTCCCATCATCCTCCAGTCTCTTTATAGAACCAAGGCCTCCAAGGGACATTCCATTTGGATGGCAGCCATTTTAGCACAGAGTCCTCCACAAGAGTGTAAATTTACACATGCATGCATGTGTGTATTCTTGTGTACGTGCACAAATGCACTCAGACAAAATCTCGGAACACTGTCTCATTACAGCCTCTCTATTACGCGAAAATCTCTGCACACACAGTTTGAGGAGTGTATGAAGTTAGTTGAGTTAGTCCCTCACACCTCTTTTTAACACGTTCACAAAACCGAGCAGCAAATTTTAGAAACCAATTCAAAATTCTATCTGGTGTTCAGGATTTGTTAAGAGACTATGAGGATTCTCTGTGCAAATAAACAGCATTGCGTAATGGTGCGAGATCCAGCCAGGACTATATTTTCTAAATATACTGTGGGGAGCTCCGCAAGTAAATTTCAATACGTTTCAACACGGAGGGCAATGAGTCCAAATGACCTTTACATGGCAGGCCCCATTTGGCTGTGGGCCAATCCATCCCTTTGAGAGACAAATGGAATGAGAGGGAGAGACAGCGAGAGAGGGACATATTTATTCCTTTGAAAAGTGAAACTAGTCTACAGGGACTTGTTGGCAAACTTGAGATCCTGGAGACTTTGGGAATTCTCTGACTGGATATGGAAAAACCATGCTGGTTATCCTATAGGACCGAAAAGCCCTTATGAGGACAACTTGCCCTTACTGCCTCTATTGAATCAAGACCTTGGAAACACTGTAGGTTACTGGAGAATTTCTAGCCACTTCAGTGTGCATTTGTGCAACTATATGGGTTGCCATTGCTCTCAAGAAATTTTTTGAAGAACAAAAATACAGCTGAGATAGTGTGTTTGAATGCAGAAAGTGTTTGTTTGGCTGTAATATCCACTTTGGCAAGGCCTACTGTTGGCAGCCATTTGTTCTCTGTTGTCCTTTTCTTGCCTATATAATATAGAATTTTAACATTTTCACTTCAGACAGTGCATCTAATTGCTCCATATGTAGCCAGTAAATGACACTATATCATAATAAACAGCTTCATCACTTTGAATGCACTTGACTTGGACAAAAAAAAAAAAAACATTACAACAAATGCATGAAGCAGTAAGATGTGAGGCAAATCAGTCACAAAGGCATGGATGCAGCATCGGTACCATGCAATGACAATATTAAAAAACACAGGCACAAAGATGGTGGTAAAAATGGATGGATGGAGAGAGGCTGAAAGAGAGAGAGGGAGAGGAATTTATGCCAAGCCATGATGATAGCAGTAATACTGAAGAGGTGAAACTCTGCAGGCATATTGCTTCTCAGCAGTTGCATCTGTAGGATTGAAAAGTTTTCTTTTGCTTTCTCAGTAAGTACGTTTAGGATTTATCATTTTCAGGCACACGACTTTGTTTCAAGAGGAGTTTTGTGGGTATAAATATTGTAATCTAGAATCAAGTTTGACACTCCCTTTCCTTCTCTCTCTTTTTCAGATTATTAAAAGGGGGGGTTGGGGTTGTTGGTTTCATGGCAGGGCTCTCACCTGGTCTCACTCCTGCCAGCACAGGCAGCGGGTGGTGTGTGAACGCCATGCGGGGGGACCTCGTCTGGGAAGTCAGGGCGTTGAAATCAAACTTCCCCGGCTTCTTAAGTGAACCAGGCGAGGACAGTCCTGGCGAAAAAAAAATGGGATCAACAAAAAAAGTGGGGGGGAAGAGGGAGGAAAAGAGAGAGGTGGTTTTAATCAACAAAATGTTGCTTATTTGATTGGCTACACTAAAAAAAAAAAAATAAAAAAATCAATAGGATTTTTATTGAAGGGGACTTGAACAATAATAATTTTCTGATTAGACTGTTTAATTCTCTCACTGGTTGATGGCAGTGCACTTTTCCTGTCCTTTTTGGCTGTTGGCCATTGACTCCCGTTTGGTTCAATGAGTCATTCAGAGGACTCTGTAAATGATGCAGTCAGAAGGCATAAGAATGCTCAAAAGACCCAAGAAAACTTGATTGCTAATAATGGGGTTTTACTACTCCTAGGCAGTAATAATTCATTCAGAGATACACTGAGGATTCCAAACTCCCAGCTTTATGGTCATATAATATGGGCTGAGCAATATATCATAAGTGCATGTCTTCAAAGGAAAAAAAGGAGAAAAATAGCTAAATCCAAACAGAATCTGGTCTTTGTTTTCATGCCAAAGAACATCTGTAGCTATAATAATCCCTTCTGTGCCACTGTATGTTTTTCTGTCTCATCTCTTTCTGTTTCTCTCTCTCTTTCAGGTGCCAACTCTATGGTTTCTAAGTGTACAAGCATGGCCACCATACAGCCACAGTCAGCTACTTCTGGTCTGGTTTCAGCAAAGCTCACAGGCTGGCTGCATGAGAAGACGGCTTCATTCAGAAATAGCACACACTGTACAGTATGGACACGGCAGCTGCTGAGTGCGAAAGACAAGCAGACGGACAGAGAAAGGAGACAGAGGGAGGGAGAGAGAGAAAGATAGAGGCGAGAAGAACGTGGGAGACATGAAAATATGTGAGGGAGCAAGGGAGCAAGAGAGCAAAGCAGAACCTGTGAAAAATGCAGCAGTGTCTTTTTTCTTTATTGCATTGCCCTGACAACACGTATGAAATTGGAATGTCATAAGATGTTAAATATGGTTATTATCTCTCGTGCGCACACACTCACACACACGTCTGAACACACTTGAAAGGCCGCCACATTTAACTGGTGAAACAATAGACAAATTTCTTCATCTGCAAGTTTTATTCCAATCCTCCAAACAAATACGGGGTGTGATACTGTTCTCTTTTTAAACTTTTTTAGACTCTTGTTTTGTAGTCTATTTCTGTGGCCCCTCTACATCAAACAAGGCATTAAATACGATTCCTCCTCAGTTCTCCAGCTGGAAATGTGTGAAAGTCTATGGGAGTGTGGGGGCGTGTAAAACCTTCCCTCCCTGTGTGAAAGAGTTAAGTCTCAAGCAGGTGGGAGTGAATATGTGTGAACCATTTATGTCTTTAGCAGACATATATTCCCCCCCTCCTCCCAAATGAAGCGGGAGTCTGGAGGCGTATTGTACTGTCAGACAGATTCCAAGCATGAAAACAACCCCGATCCCACTTCTGACACCAGCAGTTAGCAGTGATTGCTATGACACTGTCAAACTGGTGGGAGAAAGGTGGAAATAAGAGCAGTCTGCAGAGACTGAAAGATGTAAAGGCACCAGAGGAGAGAGCTAGGAAAGACTGAGATTTGAAGGGAAACTGTAAAAACTAGAACCTTACAGATTAAACAATTATGGTTTCAGAGAGGCAGTCTTGTGTGCTTTTTTTTATGGAAGCACAAAATGAATCCTAAGTATAGAAATCACAGCCAGGAAACACAGAGAAGATCAGATGACGACTGACATCTATGCATATGTGCGTGTAAATTTCTCTTGGAGATGAATAAAGTATCTATCTATCTATCTATCATATAGGAAGTTATAGCACCGCCACTATCAGCAAGGGAATGCTAAGGACAATATTTCTGTACTTCCGAGACTGTGCGATAGTCTGATCTGGCTTTTGTCTGTGTGTCTGTGTGTGTGTGTGTGTGTGTGTGTGTGTGTGTGTGTGTGCCACAACTGCACTGTTTCCTCTTCTGGCAAGCATTAGTATTTCACTGGCAACCAATCAAGCGTTCCCATGATGACCCTTCTGTCTCTTTGCACTAACAGGCCTGCCACCAGATGCGCCTCTGAAGAACACACAAGCGCAGACATACATACACACTCACACACAGTTGGAAAAGACAGGAGATAGTGGTTTAAACAAGTAAAGGAAAGTTGGGGAATTCAACTCTCTCCAGTGATTTAAACCACATATGTCCATAACCAAAAGTCCAGCCATATCTCCCTACGGGCTTGTAACATTTAACTCAAAAGCACCAAGCAAGGCCCCCGCCACCACAAGTCTCTGGTGTCTCAGAAATATTTCACAATCATTTGGAACTAATATGAAATTATGGTTGTTTCGATTGCCTCCACTAACCTCCCCCACCCCTCTTCCCCCCTGTGGAGCAGATGTCTCCAGCATCCTCATGGGTCCCAAGGCTACACACACACGGAAACACCATCTGGGACCATGCTTCAGCTGTGCATGTGTGTGTCTGACTGGGCTGTGTCATGTGTGTGCAGAAATCCAAAATGTCTATATATCTGACTGTAACCATGTTTGTGTGATTTATATGTATGAATGCATTTTCATACATCTGTGTATGTTGCTGGACGTGTGTAGTTATGGAGGAAGTCAGGAGGAGTAAATGTTGCTCAGGACAGACTGTGAGCCACACTGGTGGGGTTTGATTTAGAAGTCCCTGAGTTTGTTTGTTTGTTTGTTTGTTTGTGTGTGTATGTGTGTCTGCTTGTTTATATACCCCCCACCTGAGCGGGAATTCCCTGATGAGATTTGCTGGTGGCAGATGGAATTCTTTGGAAAATCAGATGCACACTGTACCAAAATCACACATTCTCCACTCCCTGCTACCTTGCTCTCCTGTACCTACCAATCTCCCGCTTTTTGCTTGGTTTATCTTGACTGTGACAAAAATGTTTTACGCTATCCATGGTTTAAAATGATTCCCAAACCCACACACAAAAAGGCTGACAATTACAAAAGCTTTTGGCTTTCCAATTTTTCACTTGGATTTCGTAAATTAATCGGGTAAAGGGTCCAGATTTGCATGCTATTCTACACCCCTATTTGCCAAACTCATTAGTTGGTGTACAAGGCTGTGTGCTGCACTTTGGATAGTAAGGGGGCGATGCACATACACACAGAGGAGGAGAGAGGGTGAGTGAGAGAGAGAAAGACAGGAAAAAGATGGGAGGTGAGGCTCTGGTGCGCTAAGGCGTGCAGGAGCCTCTGTTGTGGCTCTGATGAGCAGCCTCTTAATTACATTTACAGCTAAGTGGAGCAGGAGCAGAAGAGCAGCCGCCGAGGCTCGAGTGAGAGTAGACTGGGGCAAAACCTAACCAAGGCTCTTGGCTCCTTTAGCTCACACCCTGACAACCCTTCTCTCTCATTAGTTATCACCATTTGAGTACACCAAAGTCTTCTTCTCTCTTCCCTCTTGCACCACCCACTTTTTAAAATCCACTTGCCTAATTTGTGGTTCTCGCTCCACCTTCTCTCCGCTGACATGTTTCTCTCTCCCCAGGGCCCATCCTGCTGTACACGTTTTCAATTAGACAGAAGGGAGACAGGGATGGAGGGCTGAAGGGAGAGCTAGGGAGCACAAGGAAGGGTTTTACGCCTCTGATCCAAAGAAGTGTCTTAATGAGGAACTTGAGTAGAGGGAGGGATGGAGACAAGGTGGGCACCTGAACACCTGCAGGGGTGGGGAGTATGATAAACATGTGTGTTTCAATGTGTGAAAGTCTGCATGAGAGCAGGGAATGTAAGAGTGTGAGTCACCGCAACTGGGGCGTCTATGTATGTACAGAACAAGTGCATGTGCGTGCATGTTGGGGATGGGGGGGTGTCTGTATACATTTGAGTAAGTAACTGTACCAGTGTGTTTGTGCAAGAGAGTCAGAATGGGTTCAGTGAGTAAATATGCCTGCTGGTGCTGTCAGTGTCAGCTTGGTGACATCAGTTAGTTAAAGTGTCGCTGGGGGGAACTGACAAGACTTCAGAGAGATAAGCCAGTGATCTGAGATGAGCTACTTGTAGTCTCACGTTTCACACAGAATAACCCTTGAACTGAATAATCCTTTAGAATTATGCCACTGTATATCACAGAAAATGTATTGTCAATAAATGAAACTTTGATCAGCAGCAATGACATCAAACTGCTTACAACTAAACATTACTGAAATTATTACACAAGTAAAGTGCCGTTTTTGGCACAGTATCCTTTTCCTTGCCACATGCATACCTACCTCTCTCTCTCTCTCTCTCTCTCTCTCTCTCTCTC